CCTCTGCAGGCAAAGCCTCCTAAACAAGGTCCCTGAACAGCAAGCAGACGAAGGATGAGTGTCTCTGACACAAGTGACACACAGAGGAGTGGTGGGACAAGTCATCACTCACTGGGACAGCTGGGGGATCTCATAGCCAGCCTGGATGTTGGAGATGCCAGCAGCTACGGCGGCAGTGACCATCAGCCTGGGCTTGTTGATCTGCTTGGCCTCCTGCTCAAAAGCTGCACGCATTTCCTATACAAGAGTAGGAGAAAGTCTATGAATATTAACTTAAGTTGACTTCCATGACTACTCTTTGAATTAAATTAAATTAATCTCTTCCATTTTTCATTCTTCATCATTCTCATTGGAATAGTGTCTCCAGGTCCTTCACCTCTTGCTGAGATTGTAGGAAGCTCGGTTTTGTGTAGGGCCTCAGTAATCTTTCATATAAGATCAGTTGTGTGGTTTCCAGTCAAAATGATATGGAACACAGCTCACCTGCACCAGGACGGTGAAGAGATGCTTGTCCTGAGGAGGGCTCCCACGAGACCCAGGGTACTCCCAGTCAAAGTCCAGCCCATCAAACTCGTACTGGCGCAGGAATTTGATGACGGAGGCAATGAAAGTCTGGCGGTTCTCAGGAGTGGAAACCATGGCAGTGAAACTAAGGGAGACCCAAAGAAGGCAGGGTGAGGGAATGCCTCGGTGATCTCAACACCTTATAGTAAAATCCATGTAGGAAGTCATCTCAAAAAACTTACGGAGCAGTTCCAAAGTTCCAGCCACCAATAGCCAGGAGAGTTTTCAGTTGACTGTTTCTGAGGGAAAAGAAGCAAAGAGTTGTGTCAGAATCAATGGACAGAAAAACAAATCATTTCAACATTAGCTATTATAGTGATTGAGAAACCAGAAGTCTCATGCAGCCTGTCATACTGGTTTTCTTCATTCTCGTCCTTATTTCCTAAATTGTGAGAGTGGTTGGAGTAAAGTTGGGAGTTTCAAAGTGTCTACAGTCTAATTTTC